ATACTGGGAGTAAGTTAATAATGGGATATAGTATAGTACAAATAGATAGCACAAATAATATAGTATTTAGAAGCAAAAGTAGAATTGAAAACTGGTTCTCATCTACTTGAGCGAAGCTGATAGCTTGTTTAGTAGCGATCTTTTTAGCACCAAATGTGTGTATAGTAGAAATAAGAACAGATAGTGCCTGTGCAATCTCAGCAGTTGAGAAATGTTTGAAAAAAGGAAAAGTACGAGAATGGCTGAAGTTCAAGAACAGCAATATTCTGTGTGCAATCCAAAAAGCCTGCAAAAGCAAAGCATTACTACTAAAATTTACAAAAATCAAAAGCTACTCAGGTGATACTTATAATGACCTAGCAGATACCTTAGCAAAAGAGGGATCGCAAATAGCTTATGCTATAAGACTAAACAATACTAGCAATAGCAGTATAAAGTATATACCTGAATAGAAGGGAATAAATCTTGAAACTCCACTAAGGGCATTCATTAAAAGAGTAGTCCAAACATCATTCAAAGCAGAATAGACATGGCTAAGGAAGAAGAATAATGACAGATACCAGTCAAGAATTCAGAAACAAGACTGGAAAACTTTCAAAGGAATATTAGAAGGATGCCATAACCAATACCAAAATTCTGAAGTAAACCATCTACGCTTTTTCAAGATCAAGTGTATTGAAAACCTCCTTCCAATAGTTAGAGTTTTAAATAGTAAAAAACTATACCTATACAAAAACAGCTTATGCAAAAGGTGTAGTAGAGGAAACGAAACAATAGATCACCTAATCATATGTAAAAAAGTACAACAGGCACTAGGAAAAATCAAAAAAAAGGTATGGGAACGATTCAGAAAGATAAAAGAAAAGATGAAAACTGGAACTTAGGAGACTTGCAAAAAATCTTTCAACAAGAACATGAAAAGAAGTTGGAAAAAAGGAAAGAATGGATGAGAGAAATTCTATGCAAAGAAGATGCGGAAAAAATTCAAGCACTACTAGGTTCAAAAAGAATGACAATGAGATTCTGGAGTTTTTTCTGGTATATTTGGATGGAATTGGTATACAAAGAAATCTGGAAAAAATGATGCAAAGACACAGAAGCATGGGAGAAAAAAAAATATTTCTAGGAAAGAAAAATTTACACAGGTAGAAAAAAAAGAAAAAATGATCCAAAAAAGAAGCTACAACAAGAAAAGCGAGTGGTAGAGTAGACGAGAACACAGAAAATTATAATATTAGTCTTAGGATAGTATAGCCAGGGAAGTAAAGGAGGGAGTAGTAGCAAGTTGGTTTTTAAGTTAGTCATGATAGGCTGTGGCATCCTTCCTATTAGCTATATATAATTTATACATAGTATAAGTCACATTAGTATAGAACAAAGGTCACTATGGCAGATCGCACATAGGTATCCTTAGGATAACTGGATGAGTCAAAGCTTAAAAAATTAGACATTAGATAGTATATAACTAATTAATGCTGTTTTTAATTGGAAAACAAATCTAAATAAAGTTGTGGCATGACTGCTGAATTTTAAAAAAAAAATAACAAATCTCTAAGTACTAATAGATTAATCTTTAAGTTTTTCAAAATCTATATAAATGAGGTTATACTAATTTTGTACAAAATCTTTAATAAAAAGGTCTGGTAATCTTAGTGTAGTAGTTAGGTTGCCAGACTGCTATACAAGAGGTCTGGGGTTCAAATCCCACTGTCAATAAATTTGAATAATTACCTAGATCTTTGTATCTAACTTATGGTAAACCCTGTTCGTTTCTGGAGTTGTAACTTTGTAAATTATGTTACACCAATATTATCTAAATATTAGAAGTGTGACAAGGCATTTGGTGAGACATAACATTATATGAATAAATCTTGATAGAATCTATGAGTAGAGGACCTGTATGGTAGAAATCCCAAGTTGGTATGGCTTTCAATAGTCACACTAGCTAATACTTGATCTAGAAAGGAAACTATCATCAAAAGATATAGATTGAGTCAAGTGCATATAAATCTGTTCCACAAGTAGGATCAGTAACACCAACCTGGCTTAGCAGCTAACTGAATTAGAAGGAGCTGCCTTGTAAAACATCTGAGAAGATAGAATACAGAAAACTAATAGAGAGTCTTAGTAGAAACTAGAGTTGTATGAATATCTACAAGGATTTAAGCAAGGTAAATTTGTAAAATAGGTACAAACTACTCTAGTAGGTATGCTTTAAGGTTAACTGGCTTTGCGATACCTACTATATGTTAGATACAATATATCTCAAGAGGATCTAAGCTGTTCTAAATAAATGGATTCGTAACAAGCTAGTTAGCTTAAGTGGTTAGATATTGCAGTAATGTTAGGTTGAATTTGTATAGGTTAATGATCAGAGTGTTTAAATAGATAACTCACAGGCAGGTTACAGGTATAGTAGCATAGTGTAGAACTAATCAGGTAGTCTAATCATCTGTACAGCGGACTACTTAAATAGATAATGACTAAAGTTGTACATGTAGCTTGTTGTACACTCTTCATGTAATTACAAACAGTAAGGACTATTAATAGATATCCAATATGCAATTCTAATAAAATTTCTTTGACAATGTAAGCTGCCTTAATAACAAAAAAAAAACAAAATCTTTAATAAAGTTCTCTATTCTAGCTTTTTCTTGCGATCATAGTACAAAAGTATCTTAACTCTAATTCTGAAGAAAGACAATAAATTAAAGAAGCTTACAAGTTGAAGACCTATCCCATTTGTAAACTATAACATTAAAATATTCATGAAAATTATTACAGAAAGACTAAATGAGATATATAAAATAATAGTAGAACCTTAACAACAAGGTTTTATATAAGAAAAATATATCTTAAATGTAGCAATAAATACAATTACAGTGATGAGAAACCAGAATGATTAATTACAAAATAACTAGATAGTATTTATGGATCAAGAAAAGATATTTGATAGGATAAGTTACAAATTTTTAGAATCAGTTCTAAAAAAAATAAAATTCAGCCAAGAGTTTATAAGATTAATCAAACACCTCTTCTTAGAATAAACAGCATATATAATGGATAAAGAGCTTCTTTCAACACCAATCAGAATAGAAAGAGAGGTAAATAGAGTGATCTGTTTTCACTTCTCTTATATATATTTTCCTTGAAGCTTTTCATAAGAGCTCTAGAAAAAAGACTATATAGTATCTAACTTAATAAACACATCTTTAAAGTATCAGCTTATGCAGATAATATAACCTTGGGTCTGAGTGCCTCTAGTGATTAGGTGGCCTTTAAACAATTAGCAGAACTATATGAAAAGGCAGCAAATGCAAAAATTAATAAAAATAAGACAATAATCATCTCCCTAACAGATCTAGCAATGAATAGTGAGCTAGCAAATGAACAAGATTTTGTTAAAAATAGAGACAATGCTATAATCAAAACCCTGGGTTTCACTATAGATAGAAAAGGCTACTCGGATAAAAATCTATAGTATAAAACTATACTGGGGTTAAAAAATGCTATTCACAAATGAACAATAGGAATCTCTCTTTCATAAAACATATTTTGTTGGTGAAATTATTACTGCTATCAAGAGTTTGGTATGTAGTATATATTCAGCCTTCCACAAGAAAAGAAGTATCAGAAATCAATAATCTAATAATGATATAGATCAAAAACAATTCATGGCACTACTTAGTTGCACAAGTTTTTAACTACCTTATGAAAAAAATAGGCTAAGTGCACTGATAGTGAAAGATATGTTAGATGCCAGACTAGCAGTGATTTGGAATAAATTGTTAACTAGTGAAATACTATAGACAAAAATGGAAAAGAGATTAATTAACATAAGATTATGGGAAAGAAGAGGTATAACTGTATCCAGAGCGTTATCAACAGGAACAATCAAATTAAAAGCATGACCAGAAGTTTGAAAACCTTTTTTAACTACCTGGAAATGTCTAGAGGGTTAGATATTATATCCGTCCAAAACCTGGCCCTGGAGTTAGATGAGATTAAAATAAATAAGAAAAAAGGATGCAATTTCACAGTTTTAGCTGCATCAGAAGTACATCAGTTCACCCAACTATGTTACAGTGAAATATGTTCTCAACACAATCAGGCAAAGACCAATAGACTTGGAAGTGCCTGAACTGGATCCCCAATAAAAAGAAAGATATTTTTTGGTGAATGATTCATAAAGCACTCCACTAGCTCACTTTTCACTGGATATATCTAGAGATTGTCCATGGTGCCCAGACATGGTTCAAGACATGGAACACTTTGTCTTAAACTGTAGGCTCAGTAAAAAGATATGGGATTGGGTCTACAGCTTTTTGAAATTAGAAAGGATCACCCATCTGACAATGATAGAGGAAATCGTCACAGCTTCGAACGCTACAGGACAAACAAATAAGAAATTGATAATCTGGCTTTATGTGAGCTTGATTTACGAGCTCTGGTGTTTATACACGAACAGAAGGTGAGGTGGCACTCATATTCCGGAGGCAATATTGCATAGAACATGGGAAATCAGGCTGAAAAAAGAAACTACAGTACTTTTAAATAGCACTAAACTTAAAAAAAGTGCGGAAGCACTATTGAAATTGTTTAATCAATAACTGTATTATAATCGCTTGTAATTTCGTACTACAATGACAAATTAATAAAATACGACCACGTCGTCCTCTAGCGCTTTGCTATGGAGGTAAAAAAAAAAAAAAAAAAACATTGGAAATCTGGGAAATATCGTCAATTCCCGTGATATGGTGATATACGTTCATACCTTTTTGAAAACATCTATAAATTGCAGGAACTTGTTTTTTGGATAATGGTCTTTCGTTATAGCATCACAATATTCTTTTAACATTTATTTCAATCATCCCTTCTTCTAAATAGGCAACTCAAAATCATGAAGAGTAGTATCTGCATATAAAAGGATTAAAAAAAATTTACCCTTAATCTAACATAAAATAGTATGAATACCTGCTATGTTAAGTAAGCCATTCTCTGAACTAACTCGTTGTGAAATTTCTCTCGTATTAATAAATTTACTTGTATATATGACATCATTGTGTTCATGCAGAGCTATTGATAATTCAGGAATCATCATATCAGCCTCTCTAAATTCTCTGATTGTTTTTAATTTTTCATCAAATTCATCAACGTTGTCAATGTCTTCAGATTCATCAGATTCTCCAAGCTCATCAATCTCTTCTTCAAATTCATTAAATTCTTCTTGTTGATATATAAGGTTATGCCATTCAAAAAGTTTGTCAAGAATAGTTTCAGCAGTGGGTCGCTTTTGTGAACCTGAATGCATGCATAATTTTGCTAATTCGATGTAACACTTTGGAGTTTTTGAAGCAAAGCCAGGCCTCAATCCTTTGTAAATTTCGTATGCAAGGTCAGTATCGAATGAACGTCCATAAAATGGTGGAATCCCGGTAGTCATTTCAGCCATAATAACGCCAAAACTATAAATATCAGTTGATTGTGTATATTGTTGACCTAATAAAACTTCAGGGGCAAGATAAGACATAACTCC